CACACACACACACACACACACACACACACACACACACACACACACACACACACACACACACACACACACACACACACACACACACGATGATTCAATAGGTTAGGGCCAAACTGAAGGAGCATATAGAGAGAACTACTTTTTCTTCTTCTATGGCTCTCCGGTCCGTATTCGGTCCATGGCCTCCTCAATTCGGTCCTCTGTTAGGTCCGTCTGTCTGAGGCTTTGATTGAGGTTTTGAAACATATTCCTTTTTACAGTGCAAAGTTGTTAGCCTTGCGACTAACCCCCAACCTGAAGGACCAGGGTACCTGTCTTAGTCTGACCTCTCCCCCTCGACCAATCTGGCTATGGAGGCCATACCAGTAGCTATGCCACTGCCAGCTTAGCTCTTGGGATCACTGAGGTACTCTAGCCCCACCACCATGACAAAGTGCAGGTACCATTAAGTGGGGCAGAGAGAACTACTTTTGAATAGGAAACCATGTCCTCCAAAGTTATCCTGAGTCAGTCAAGGCCATTGAAGGCAGGGGTGTCTGATAACATACCGCTGAAATAATCGTACTTTGCTATTCTCCTACTAGCTTAATTTGTTATTAATGTACAAGGATTACATTAGCAATCTTACAAACCAAATTATTTCAGCAGTATGTTATCAGACTTCCCTACCTTCAATAGCCTTGACTGACTCAGGATAACTTTGGAGGACATGGATTCCTATTCGAAAGTAGTTCTCTCTCAGTCCCTCTATACGCTCCTTCAGTTTGGCCCCAACCTTTTGAATCACTCTGTATATATTGTAACGTCAACACTGAAGTAAAAAGTACATTGCTATGGGCAACTTTAACTCTTAGAACCAACAAAACTCTATGAAATACATGATTTTGAACATTCTGAGCTTATCATGCCCAGCCCATCTCATTCTTCTCGACTTAATCACCCTGACAATACTGGGGGAGTACAGATTCTTAAGCTCATCATTATGCAGTTTTCTCCACGCCCCATCGTCTTCTCTCTTAGGCCCAAATATCCTCCTCAACACCCTAATCTCAAACACCTGCAATCTGTGTTCCTCCCTCTGAGTGAGAGACCATGTTTTGCACCCATACAAAACAACAGGCAAGATTATTGTTTTGTACACTTTAATTTTCAGGTTCTTAGAAATCAGACGGGAAGACAAAATATTTTGGACTGAGAAGTAGCAAGCATTTCCGGAATTTAGTCTCCTCCTAACTTCCTCACAAGTATCATTTTGATTTGTTATTGTTGTTCCCAAATATTTGAACTTTGTAACCCTTTCAAAGGATTTATTAGCTACCCTAAGATAATTTTGCCCGCCTGTCTTCTGATGACGAGATACTAACATGTACTTAGTTTTTTCTGAATTTACTTCCAGCCCCACTTGTCTACCAGCCTCTAGTAAAACTTCTGCGTTCCTCTTTATTGTATTTATATCGTCCCCCAATAAATTAACATCATCAGCATATGCCAATAGCTGATGTGTCCCGTTCAATTGCAAACCCTCCTGCCTACCTTGGACCTTCCTGATGGCGTATTCTAGCGCAAAGTTAAAGAGCAAGGGAGACAAAGCATCTCCTTGTTTTAGACCGTTCTTGATGAGGAATGTCTCAGATACATATTTACCTACTCGAATTTTGCTGCAGGTTTCATTTAAGCACATTTTTATTAGACCCACTAGCTTCTTTGGTATACCAAATTCAATAAGAATATTATATAGCACTTCTCTCTTCACAGAGTCATAGGCTTTTTTGAAATCTATAAATAACTGATGTACGGTCCCACCGAACTCCCATTTTTTCTCTAGTATCTGACGAATGCAAAAGATCTGATCAATCGTTGATCTGTTTCGTCTGAACCCACACTGATGATCCCCAATAGTTTCATTCGCATATGGGGTTAATCTTGCCAAAAGAATGTTGGATAGAATTTTGTATGAGGTTGATAGCAGCGATATTCCTCGGTAATTACCCCACTCAGTCTTGTCCCCCTTCTTATAAATAGGAATAATTATGGATTCCTTCCATTGATGTGGCATCTCTTTCTTATCCCAAATTAACTGAATAAGCTTATGGATCCTCCTATGCAACCCTTTGCCACCTGCTTTAATTAATTCGGCCGGAATCTGATCAATTCCTGGAGCTTTATAACTTTTCAACTTCCCAATGGCTAGTTCCACTTCATCTAAGCTAGGGTCTGGCCCCAACAGTTCAGCTGTATGCATTTTAATCTGTCTAATATCACCAGTATTATGAACATTTAAGAGCTCGCTAAAGAAATTTTTCCACCTATTCACAATTTTTATTGGATCTGCAACCAAATTGTCACTATCATCCTTTACCAAATCGGTCTGGGGTTGATATCCTTTCTTAAAGTTATTAATGCCTCTGTACAGGTCTCTGATGTTTTTTTCCTTATTATTTGTCTCAAGTTCAGCAATTTCGCCCTTCAGGTATTCCCGTCTCTTATTCCTAAAGGTTCTACTAGCCTCACGTCTCAGGTTACATAGATTATCCGCATTTGTTTTGTTTGCTTCCTTCGATCTATTAATTTGGAACATTCTTCATCAAACCACGGTTTATTTTGCTTTCACCTGTAGTATCCTAGTTTCTCTTTCACTGAAATTTTGATGCAGTTTCTGACATTTTCCCACTCCCTGTTGATGTCCACACTTTCATTATCTTCATCCGTCTCTAAAATTTGAAACCTATTCGAAATTTCAACTTGATATTGTTCCTTCGCCTCTCCCTCACTTAATTTTTTCAAATCAAATCTTTCTGTGTCATTAGCTCGTCTACTTACTGAAAGCCGCTCCCTCACTTTTGCTACCACCAGATAATGATCAGTGTCACAGTCTGCTCCTCTGAAACACCTCACATCAATTATATTTGTGTGCCTTCTATTATTTACTAACACATGATCTATTTGATTGTGTGTGCTCCCATCTGGAGAAGTCCAAGATAAGTATGTAAAGTGAAAATCTAAACAAAATGCGGTTGGGTAGTGTTGCAGCTTAAGAACGATTCTCTTGTGTTAACAAAATCTTTGAACAAAGCGCAGTACTCATATGACACTTTAAAAAATTACAGAGTGTATGTGACGCCATGCAGGTAAGTACAAGCAATTCTGATAAACATACTGCCTCCACCTTCAGGGCTGAAATGGTTATGCTAGAAAATGGAGAGGTTTATCTTGGGGCTGCTTCCTAGCAATGTTCCAAATATACGTTCCCATTCTTCTTCTAGGCAGGTCAATGTGACCATTTCCATCATTCAGCCCTTGAATCCACTTGACTCAACTTCAGATTCAATGAGCAGATTTCACATTCAAGTTCCCCATCTACCACATGGCACAGAGTCAAATTAAGAGTGGATTAGATAGGAATGCACAGCCTCTTCCATATGGAAAGAGAATGAGAGAGCGCTTTTAGTGTCAATTTGCACACGTCAAATAGAACACCATTTTCCTGAACATCCTAATTCTTTTCAGTGTTTAATTTAATTACTGCGATATACAGTAAAACCCCTCTAGTTGGACACCCTATATCCTGGACACCCCTCTATATTGGACACTTTTAATTGGAACCGGCGAATATCCTATAATTTTACATGTCCACAACACTCTATATCTTGGACACCCCTCTATCCTGGAACTTGAACACCCCTTTTGTTGCAAGTTGGACAGGTTCATGCACTTAGCTTCAATGCTTTTATGGGAAACATTTACAGTTAGTATTTTGTTATTTTGAATTTCTGACTGATGAATGCCTTCTACCTGAGGATTAGCTTATAATTGAGGGTGTGAGACTTTGAACCCATCATTGGAATGCAGTGAAAGTGTATATTTATTCTTTTGTTGAACCCTTCACTGGACTACAGTAGTATTGCTGGTACAGTTCTAACTTTGTCAGTACTGTGCTTGCAGCTGAGTTAGCTTGCAACAGTGTTAACAGAAATTGGATTTTTCTTTTTGCGATGGGAAAACGAAAATTGGTGGAATTAACTCTGGAAAAGAAGAAAGAAGTTTTGGATCTTCTGAAGATAGGAGAAAGTTGCAGGAAGCTGGCAGAGAAATACGGCATCTCAAAATCTACTGTTTCCAACATCAACAGCAACAGAGCCGCAATTACCGATGCGTGGGAAAAGAATTGTAATGCACACAGAAAAAGACTACGAAAAACACCTCATGATGAACTAAATGACAAAGTGTTAGAGTTTTTCCGGTGTTGTCGTGCAAAGAACATTCCCATTAGTGGCACACTTTTACAGGAGAAGGCTAGAGAAATTGCAACTAGACTCCACACCGAAGATTTCTCGGCGAGCAATGGCTGGTTGGATCGTTTCCGTAAACGAAATAACATAAGTCTGCACGTCCTTTCTGGCGAATCAGCTTCTGCTGATCTTCAAGCTGCTGAAGATTGGAAACGCAAACTTCCAAGCCTTTTGTTGGGATACGCAGAAGAGGACATTT